ATGGAACCATGTATACACTGAATGAGTAGAAAAATCTAGACTCTCATTTAATCAATGGCCCTAGAAGCTACTAAGAGTACCCCCCAAAGAGCTCTTTATCAGAGTAGAGGTGAGAGGGGGATAGGTAGCACCAATGTACCTTGGTTTCGAAATGATAAAATGAAGATTTTAAGCTACAGAAGGACCTGGGAGTCCAGTGAATCCACTGGAAAGCCAGGATCAGGTGCCTTATCAACTTTATCTTCCCAGATTCAGTCTACTTCTGCATTTTCCCATTAGTTTCATGGTTATTCCTTGCCATCCTAACAAGGAAAACACCACCTCAGCATCCTAATGCCTCCAAATGGTAGCGCTGTGGCTGGTGTGATGCAGTGGCTAAGAGTAAGTGCTTAAACCAAGAAGACCTAGATTCAGCCTCTGCCACTTCTGACTGCGGCCTTGAGAAACTTACTTAACTTCTCTGACCTTCAATTATTCACCTTCAAAAGGTATAAAAATAGTACCTAGATCACTGAGTATTAAGAGAAGTACATGTGATAATGTGGGCACAGTGCAGAGCCCAATGCCTGCATGCTAAGCCAAAGGCTATTGTTAATTTTTTTCTTTTTTTTAATAAATTCATTACAATTCTTCTTATATGTATACAGCACAATTTTTCCAAAATAAAAAATAATTTTTTTCTTTTTTTAATAAATGCATTACGATTCTTCTTACATGTATACAGCCAATTTTTCATATCTCTGGTTGTATATAAAGTATGTTGACAAGGGCTATTGTTATTATTGTTAATAACAAGATCAGAATAGTAATTATCTAAAATAGTGGTTGGAGAACTACTGCTACAGACCGAATCTGGCCCTTGGCTTATTTTTCTAAAGCCTGTGAGCTAAGAATGTATTTTACATTTTTAAATATTTTTTTAAAGACAGAGTGAGAGAGAGAGAGAGAATGAATTTTAATATTTATTTTTTAGTTATTGGTGGACACAACATCTTTGTTTATATGTGGTGCTGAGGATAGAACCTGGGCCACACGCATGCCAGGCGAGCGTGCTACCGCTTGAGCCACATCCCCAGCCCATTTTAAAGCGTTTGAAAAGGGAAGAAGACCATATTTACTACCTAGCCTTTTATAGAAAAAGTTATTGACGCTTCCTCTACAAACTCAAAAGGAAGAGTTCATTTATAAATTATTGATAACCCAATGCCACCATCAACACCCTCTCAAATTATTTCCAGTGTAATGCGTCCATCAAAGATTGCAGAATTAAATCAGACTGGCAGCTCCTCTGGAAAATTCTCCATGAGGTCCCTAGCTCTAGGTGGTCCTTACTCCTGTGAGCTTTTCCAGCCTGTGCTATTCTAAGTACTTTGGCCTAGCCACAAATAGGCATTCAGCTCCCTGAGGATAGAAACCATCTGCCCAGCAACCTTGGAGCCTATTGTCCTGCTCACAGCAGGTTCTCAGGAGATGTTTGCAGAGTGGTTTGAATGTTGTGGTAGCAGATGCAAATCACCCTGTTTTCCTGAGTCTCCTGAATATTTAAAATTTCTGTGCTTAACAGGAAGATAACAATTCAGTCCCAAATGCTGGGTACTGGGGTTTTGAAGGTGGCATATCAGTGACAGGTTTTGTTGATCAGTAATGAAGTGCATGTCTGACCTACACAAGCGCTGATGCCCTGAACTGGAATCCCACCCCTACACTCCCCTGCGGGCATCCCTCTTCCCTGGAAGGGGATCTGAACATCATTCCACTCATTTCAGTTCTCTTCTCTCCTTCTCCACCCCATTTCTCCTTCTCTCACTCTTGCTCTCGCTCTCTCTTGAAATTCCTGGGAAGAGGCCCAGAGCAGAAGCCAGAGACGCAGAAGATGCACCATGAAATTGTGAAGTGTGAAGTGGTTGGAGCTCATAAGCACACTGTGGACACAAGGGTCTTAGTGGTCAGTAGTCCTCCCTATATATTCCAAAGTGGGCTCTGGGACAGATGTGCCTTACTAAAGCAGGGTGCAAAAGGGCCCATCAGGAGAGTACAACACTGCTAATTTGAAGAATAAACAGACTTCTTTTTTTCCCTTTTAAAAAAAAATTGTTCTTCCATAATGAAGAAAAAAAAAACTTCCCATTTTCCCCTAATATATAAATAATACTTATCCTACATTAAAAAAATCAAGGGAAATAAAAATCATTTGAGGTCCTACTACACACTGAGCTATTACCATAAATAACTTAGTGACCATCATTTTATCCACATATGTGTCTACACACACACACACACACACACACACACACACACACACACACACTTTAAATCCCTCATACAAGGGATGCATTACCAGTATTCTTTTGGGTTTTGGTTTGGTTTGGACTGTTCTGGTCTCCCTCCTCTGATACTTTTCTTCATGCTCATCAAATATTTCACAAAAATAGAACTTTACCATACACATATTTCTGAACCTTGTCTTTTCTCCCTTCATTAGTCATTATAGATATTATTAATTCTCTTTAGATTTAATCCATCTATCATTTGTTTCAACCTCCTCTCCACATTGAACATTTGCTTTTTTGTCTTATTTATAGTATTTTTAGCATACATTCATTTCTAATTTAATGTAGCCATAGATATCTAACATTTCATGTGTAGCTTTGGGTTTATTGCCTTAGATGCTATTTCCTAGAGTATATACATGTGTTCCTAGATTTTAACACCTTTTGTTTCGTTTTTTACATTTAGGTCTTTCATTGATCCAGAATGTATTTGTACATGCAGTATGAGATAGGAATTCAACTTCATTTGTCTTCAGATGGATAACCAGTGGGCATGTTTACAAATGAAATAAAATACCCGCCTTGTCCTTTATCCCAGTCATATGAACAGTGTGATCCTGAACTTTTCCTTTGTGTCCCAGTGTTCTATTCATCTACTCCTATCTTGATACTGTGCTGTCCTTGGTTGCAGAAGCTTTGTGGAATGTTTTTATATCATGTAAAGCCCTTTGGTCTTGTTTACCAGAAGTCATAGGAGCCTTTGAAATTCTAGTTTGAATTATGTTACATTTTTATTACATTAAGCTTTCTAGCCAAGAATATGAGATATCTTTCCATTTGTTCATCTCTTGATTAAGACTTTTAATAAGATTTTAAATTTCCATCATATAATTCTTATGCTATTTTTTAAAATTTATTTTCATATATATTATGCAATTATACATATTATACAATTATGAGTAAGCTATTTTTCCCATTTCTACCTATATGGGGTGAGGAAGTTATACTTTTTTTTTTTTTGGTACTGGGGATTGAACTCGGGGGCACTTGACCACTGAGCCACATCCCCAGCCCCAGCCACTTTATATATTTTATTTAGAGATAGGGTCAAACTGAGTGGCTTAGCATCTCATCTTTGCTTGGGTTGACTTTGAACTCACAATCCTCCTGCCTCAGCCTCTTGAGCCACTGGGATTACAGATGTGCACCACTGCACCCAGCTTGGCAAGAAGCTATAAAAATTTAAGTACCAAGTGCCAAATTTCTTTATTAATTCAGTTGTTGTTAGCAACTCTTGTTTTTCTAGATGCAATTATAGAATCAGCAAAAGGGACTATTTTATCTTCTTTTCCAAAATCTTATACAAATTATTTCACTGTTTTATAGCATCCATACAATCTCTAAAAAAATGTTGAATAATAATATTGGTAGTTTCTGCTTTGTTCTTGGTTTAAATGGAAATATTTTAACATGTAACCATTTGCGATATTTGCTATATAACTTCCTCACCCCATATAGGTAGAAATGGGAAAAATAGCTTACTCATAATAGTATAATATGTATAATTGCATAATAAATATGAAAATAAATTTTTAAAAATAGCATAAGAATTATATGATGGAAATTTAAAATCTTTTCTTCTTTAGAAATTTTATTAGGAAGGGCTGCTGAATGTTATTGAATGCCTCTTCAACCTCTATTGATTTAATCACATTTTTCTCCTTTAATCAGATGACAAATAATAGAAGTAAAAGTCTAAGTAAAATATTAGCTCTAGGGCTGGGGTTGTAGCTCAGTGGTAGAATGCTTACATAGCATGTGTAAGCACCACAGAAAAATAAATAAATAAATAAAATAGAGGTATTGTGTCCTACTACAACAACACCAAAAATATTTTTAAAAAATGTTAGCTGGTTGGGCTGGGGTTGTGGCTCAGTGGTAGAGCACTTGCGCATGTGAGGCCCTGGGTTGGATCCTCAGCTCCACATAAAAATAAATAAATAAAATAAAGGTATTGTGTCCAACTACAACTAAAAAAATTAATATTTTAAAAAAATATTATCTGAGCTGAGGTTGTAGCTCAGTGGTAGAGTGCTTGCCTAGCATGTGTAAGGCAATGGGTTCGATTCTCAGCACCACATATAAATTTTAAAAAAGGTATATTTTAAAAAACAAATATTTTTTAAAAATTAGCTCTATATCAATAAAGTGAATAATGATATGCTTTACCCCAAAAGTTTATCCCAACTGTGTTATTACCTCTATTCACAAGGATATGTTAGTACCTCTATTCACAAATTAGACTCTCTGGGTTTGGTTTTATATTACATTTATCAGGTTTCATATGCAAGTTTATGGCACTGGTGTATTCCAGTGTTGCATTTCTTCATGCATCTATTTATGCGTCTCCATTTCTTCAATGTTTTCAGATGTATTGCCATAGAGTTACACTTGTATTTGCCCACAATTGCACTATCTACAATATTTGTTGGCCATCATTTTAATTCCTTCTACATCCATGACTACACTCCCCTTTTATCATGGCTAATCTTTGATATTTGTGCTTTCATTTTCTTTAGTAACACTTTTATTCTATTTTAATTTGGCTTCTCAAAAATGGGAATGATGTTTAACACTGAAATCTGGCTATTTTAAATCTTTCATCTATTTTGATAGAAAGTAATGCCATCATTCTCCCACTGACCTGCCTTGATTTCACATTCTTTTCAGGGTCCTGACTCATCTGAAAAGGTCACACCATGCTGCAGGCCCAGTGGGAATGGCAAGAAGGGAGGCAGTACAAAGACATGCTATCAAATCCCAGTTCATGGGTTTTATGAGTGCATGCAAGTTGAACTGTGGAAATTCTACTCTCTCCCCACGACACAGTGTTGCTGGGCAGCCTCAGCCGGGGAGCACCTGGGCAGCCCAAGCCAAGGAGATAACTCAGAGCTTATGCAACTTATTCTTCCTTTGGTACAGATCATATCTGATTTCATTTAAACATAATTCTTGGTTTCCTTGGACAACCTTTATCCAGTTCTACCCTAAATTCAGAATAGAGTGAGGGAATGCTGGTCTGGACATGTGGAGGTTATGGAAACAAATGCAAAGGCAACTGGCTTAAAGAAGTGATGACAGAAGGGGGGAGGAAAGGTCATAAGGTGAGATATTGGGGGGAAAAAATCTAAGGACAGAATAGACTGAGCTATTTAAGGGGCTATAACTAAAACTCCACATTCCTATAAAACTTAATAATCCCTGAACATATCTCTGGGGAGGTGGAGGGCAGCAGAGCAGTTCAGGCCAAGTCAAAGATAGATCAAGCTGATTACTATGTCCTTTTTTAGTGCTCCAGCACACACCATAGACGGTGGCTTGTGTTCACAGGAAAAGGCTATATGGGGTTGAGCTCCTTACCAAGGAAAGCATAGGTGAAACCTGTTTTTTAAAAGAGATCAATTAAAAATGGTAGCAAGGTAAAGCAGGAAATTCCTGCAGAACTGGATTAAAATCCATGCCCATCCTAACCAGGCCATCAAAATGTGCAAGTTACATAATACTTTTGAACCTGAGTTTTCTTACCTGCATCATGGGAATAGGAAGAGCTGCCTCTCAGAATTGTTGTGTAGCTTAAAAGATATAGACTATAGCCAGTGCAGATGTAACCCTTAAAACATTAAGCTTTAGTTATGAAGGAAGATTGCAGATCTAAAGCCCTGGGTTCCTGCCACAGTGCGGAACCCAGGGCTATAGCCAGTGCATTCAAGATCAAAAGTGTAGCATCTGGCTTCCTTGGATCCATGGAGATGGTCTTCTCTAATGGTGAGAGATTCTATAGCATTCAGGCAAACTAAGTTCAACCCTACATATAGCCTTGGCAAGCTACTATACCTCTGTTTCATTTTCCTAATCTGTACATGGGGGATAACAAGATACCTCCCTCACAGGGATAGGATGAAGATGAGTTATAACCTAAATTTTTTAAAAGTGGGAACATAGAAAGTGTCACCAAATATTAGCTAATTATTATTTCTATATAATATTTACATATGTATATATTGCACATATATGAATATATATGTACGAAACACACCTATCTCATACAAATCACTGCACATGTTTTATGAATGAATGCAAGCACATGGGTTGGCAGAAATTCTTTTGACTATTTTCATGAATTGCAAGGGAAGACTGCAAGAGGGGCTGTGACTTTTCTTTTGCAATGCACAGGTTTATGGAGGTGGGGAGAGGTTTGGGGGATGGGGAGTCAGCAGTGGACACTGAAGCCCTTCTTGATTTTACAAGATACCCTGCCTTGTGACAACACAGAGAGGGAATTCAGAAGATCAGGGACCTTGGCCCAAGGCATTCAGGGAGGAATTCCATCTGCCATCCTGTATAAATAAACAACACAGCAGAGACTGGTCCCCTTCTCTCCTAGGAGAATCACTTGTTTCCATATTTTGATTATGCCCTACTCTGCCTTTATAGGATGATAAATCACCGAAATGTAACATGGCTTCAAAAGGCCTAAGGACATTATTTACATTTTCAGCAGTCATTTTGGCAGATCTTACGTCATGGGAACTCACCAGGCCCTAGAGACTTGGAAAGTCCATCACCTGTTCCCACCAGAGCCAGAGGCCTGGAAGCTGTACTTTGTGTGTGATTCCCACTGCTCTCTACTCAGATGCTGAAAGGGGGATGGGGAGTCTCTAAATGACCCCCAAAGAGCATGTTAGGAGTTTAGAGACCTACATTAAAATCACAGTGCTGCCACTTTCTGGTTTTGAGAATCAGGCAAGTTGCCTAAACTCTGTGACCTCCCCAAGCCTGCACCTACCTCCCAGGAAAGACCTTTGTGCCTGAGTCAGGAGTCCATCCTGCTAAAGTCTGCCCATCAACCCACTATGGAGCTTGTGCACATTATTTGTGCTCTGCTTGTTTCTTCCCTGAAACCTGGGGATAAAATTGGTTGTCTGGCTTACTTCCCAAAGTAACAAAGCTAAAAAGAGTTTAATTAAGGTTGGTTGTTTTAAAGTTCTTTGAAAAAGTATCAACTGTTTAATGCATTACTTCTGAAGTACTAATACTAGAATTTCTTTGAGCAAGATTCGCACTTGTGACCTTTGATAGTCAAGGTAGATCATCTCAAGCCATTAGAGCCACACTCAGAGAAAAGAATCTAGTGGCTTTAATTCTCACTAGGGTATACGATCCCTTATTAAAAGAAGATTTTGGTACAGCAGAGGAGGAAATAAGCACAGGGCATCTGAGGACTCAAAATGTGCACCAGAGAGGGGCATCTGAGAGCATCAGAGACACTTTCCCAACTCACCCACAGCCTTTGGGTGAGTCTGGACACACAGTTGTTTTAATCCCTGTGTTGTCCTCTTCTAAGACCAGTTGCCTCCGTCATTTATAAACAGAGAGGCAAGAACTGACTATTATAAGGTATTTGGTTTCAGAAACATGTGTTCTTGCTACAAGTATTCCAACAGCAGGTCGCCTGCTGCCCCTGGTCTACCCGAATCCAGGACAAGTGGTCCTGCCAATCTCCAGCCATCCATCTCTCCAGGCTTATCTGAAAGTCATCAAAGAGCTGCTGTTGGCCACCTTGGCCTGTCGGCCGCATGATCTCAATGCTCTCCAACCCATTGACGCTTCCCGCCTATTAGTCCTACAGCAACAATTTTTGCCTGTTGTCATCAGGTCCAGTTGATGAGTTCAAAAAACACCCTCGGATGAGCCAGGAAGGTTTTTGTCTGGCTTGGCAAGCGGCCTCCCTGCCCTATGATGGCTAGAACATGGAGGTGGAAAAATTATTTTTGTTTCCCTCTGGACCAAAAAAGCCAGGGCCAGGCACCAATCCATTATCTGCCCAGAAGGGAGAGCCACATCCCTTCAGAGGACAGAGGAAGATTGGGCCAAGCTTGTTTAAAAACCAAAGTGTGTCTCAGTTGCCCTGTTCACAAAATGATACCAGAAGGACTCAGTTGGATAAGAATGGGTTTCTCTTGCGTCTTCACTTCTGCCCATGAGACCTTTCCTGAGATGTTCCCAACCTCCCCATGTCTTTGTCACTATGTTTATTGTTGACATTTCCCACTGGAGCTCACAGAGGAGAGAGCAGTCTTGAAAGGGACCTAGTTCCTTACCTTCCAGTTCCACTTTTGCAGGTCAATTGGCTTCAGGGAAATGCCTCAGCTCCCGTATGAAATGGTTCCTCCGTTCCCCTCCACAGAGATGAGGTAGGCTGAACATTCCAAAGTAAGAGAAGAGGAAAAGAAATGGAATTACTAGATTATCAACAAATATTTAATGAACTAGTGTTATGTGCCAGGTACTGTACTAGCAATGGAAAAAAATAGGTGTGAAAGAGCTAACCCCTGACTTTGGGGGGTTTGATAAAGGTGCTGAATTCACAGTCCAGTGGTTCTCAGGAGTAGCATCCACCCATGCCTCATTGGTTTTATGATTTTTGAAATGTAAACCTGACATAAATTGCTCCTCTTGTGAGCTAGTAGGACCTAAACACCCACAGGCTAAAAGTTCATGCAAACAGGCATGATTAATTAGTGGTTGTCATGGAAATGGAATGTCATTAATTATGCAATTTGAAACTGTTCAAATTCACTTCCACCAAAATTACATCCTGAAATTAGCATCAGAACAGTTCCATACAAGTTTGCCTCCTACTTGAGTCAAATACAGCACCCTCACACTAAATAATGTCTTCAAAGCAGTTAGCATTATCAGGATGTCTGATGTGGTTTGTTATTTAAATCTAACACACAATTGGTACCCATTTTGAAATGCTATTGTGTGCAGTTTAGTAGATGAACGAAGCCTCCTTTGGACCATGCAGGGTATAAGGTGCCAACAATAGATTATTATTGCATTAAAAAATCTAAAATGTAGCAGCTTTAACCAATATTCATTTAATATTTCTAGTCATTTCTGTGGGTGGAGAATTCAGAAACAGCTCAGCTGGAGGTGCTGAAGTTGCAGACCAGTGTCTGCTGGCGCTGCATACAAATGCTTGCTGGGGCCGGAGGATCCACGTCTGAGATGATTTACTCCCACAAATGGCAAATTGGTGCAATTTCCAGGGGCCTCTGCTTGTCTTTATATGGGCCTTTCTAAGGACTTCTTAAAGTTTTTAAAATATGGTTCTGGCTTCCTCCAGAGTGAGCAATACAAGAAACAAAAGCTAAAGTGGCAATGCCTTTTATGACCTAGCTTTAGTCCTAATTGTCTACCATATTCTATTCACACAGACACTCTTGATTCTGTATGGGAAGGGTTTTATAGAAAGGCTGAATACCTGGACATGTGAATCATTGGGACTATAGGATGCCAATTACCACCAGTATTCATCACCATGATGCTCCAACTTAGCTCTCTGCTGTCTAAAATGAGCAGTAAGATGTTCCCATTTATCAAATTTCTGCATATTTGAGTGATGTTATATGTTAGTGGACAAATTTTAGAGAATTTTGTAGCAATAAAGCAGACACACTGTAACACCAACAAATGTCAGTTACCCTGTTTTGAACATTCGGAGGCCTCTTAACTGTACTGCCAAAAGAAACCATTGTACCACTTGGGCATATGTCCTGTCAGGTCTTTCGATATTCTTTCCACTGCCACCCAACAGCATCTGAAGATGTTCCAAACCTAACCCATCTCAACAGAGCCTTTCCTCAGCCTTCATTCACCTCCAGCTATTACCTTAGCTTCTTATCCCCTACATCGACTAACTTTTTAAATAACTTGCCTCCCATTTGCTTCTTAAATCACTTCGGTCCCCAATATCCCATGGGAATTACCCTTTTCCAATCATCAAGGACCATCTTGTTGCTCAAGCCAATGAGAACTGTTAAGTCCTTGTCTTACCTTACCTTACCTCCTGGCACCATCTAACACTACAGTCCCCTTTCCCTGGTTCTTTTCTTCTCTGACCACTCCTTCTCAGTTTCTATTGTTGGCTCTTTTCTTCTACTTACCCTTTAGTGTTGAGGCTCCTCAAGCCTCTGGCCTCACCCCACTTCTCACTCTACAAGGGTCTCCAGGGTAATGTCATCCATTCCCATACCTTCATTGACCAGCTACAAACTAACTGATTTCTAAACCAGTGTCTCTAGATCAGATTACTCTTCTGAGTTTCAGACCCACGTGGCCAACTTTCAATGAATATGTTTAGTCAGATGCCCAATAAAAACCAAATTTATCACCTCCCCCTACCCACTGACTCCTCTGCATTCTCTCATCTCAGTAAATGTCACCTTTACCTACTCCGTTACCCAAGCCAGAAACCCAGGCATTAATTACCTTTGACACCTGCCTCTCTCTCACCTCTCACATCCTTTGGTCACCATGTGCTGGAGATTCTGCCCCTAATGAAAATATCTCTAGAATCTGTCAGCTTATCTTCATTCCTACTGTCGGTTCTCTAGTAGCATTCACTATCATTACCTCAACAGCCTCCTAAGTGATCGCCGTTTCCGGTTTTGACCAAAAATTTACTTAACCACTTTTGGATCATGGGATGTTTTAGGTTTTATGTACATGATTATACTTTTTAAAAATTGGTTACTTGCATTCTTTGATAGCTTGGTGCTTTAGTAAGCTTTTTTGCTGCTGTGACTAAAAGATCTGACCAGGACAATTGTCAAAGAGGAAAAGTTTATTTGGAACTTACAATTTCAGAGGTCTCAGTCCATGGACAGCCAGCTCCATTCATCAGGGCTCGAAGTGAGGCAGAACATCATGGCTGAAGAGATGATCAGGGAAGCAGCTCACATGATGATCAGGAAGCAGAGAGAGACTCCACTAGCCAGATACAAAATACAGACCCTAAAGCCACGCCCCCAATGACCCACCTCCTCCAGCCAAACCCTACCCACCTTTAGTTACCACTCAGTTAATCCCATCAGGGCATTAATTCACTGATTGGGTTAAGACTGTCATTAACCCTATTATTTCTCCTCTAAACCTTCTTGCATTGTCTCACATATGAGCTTTCAGGAGACACCTCACATTCAAACCATAACACTTGAATTTTGACTTCATCATGTTAATACATTTTCATTCTACAGTAAGCTTTACAAATAAAGACTGAGGAATAATCTGACTCCTTTCTATACAGACCAAATTGCCAGAGTCACGTATGGTCTACATCCCAGAGATCTGAATTCTGGTATGTTCCTGTGAGAGGACATGCCATTGCTCAACTTGATAATCAAAGCCTCTGTAACGCAATCTGACCATATCCAGGAATTTCATCCCCACCCACACACCAGTATCCACTCACTTGCTCTTTTCCTCTCATGAATCTGGTTGTTCCTCACATAAAGCAGTACACTAGGACACCCTCACTCCAACAAGTCTGTACCCTCACGGCATGCTCCACCCTGCCTCCCAAATCACATTATTTCTGACTTGAAGCCTTCACTCACTACCACTCCACTGCCTGGAATATCCTTTCTCATCCCCTTCCCAATATCCAAGACTTTATCCTTTTATGTAAGCCCATCTTCACTGACCATCTAGTCTACCATGTCACCTGTACCTTTCTTATCTCCTTTTCATTTTAAAATGTGATCCCCCTATCTTCCAGTTCCAGTTACAATTATCTTCAGCTACATCAATTCTCTCTCTCCATTTAGGCTATAAGCTCTAAGAGAACTAGAATCATATTATATATTTTCCCCTTCTAGGAAATTATTTAAGTAGTCATATATTTGTTAATAAATTGTTGATTAACTAATTACTTTGCCTCTCTGAGCTTCAAGCTCTTTATATTTAAGACTGTGGACAATTCCAATACCATAGGGTAGTTGTGAGAATTAAATGAGATCATGGATGAGAAAGTGCATTGTACTGTGCCTGGCATATAGAAGGTGCTCAGTTAATGTTAGTTCCCATTCCCCAACATCTACTCCTGAGATACAAATATAGCAACTACTGAGTAATTGTGTGCAAAATGATTGAACAAGTGACAAAAGACTAAAAGAATAACATAATGCACTCTGACTACTCAAGAGTGGCCCTGTCAGAGAAATCAAGTGTTTTTCCTTGGCTGGCATAGGAGAGCTTTTAGGAAAGGGAGGTGGAGATGAGGGAGATATGGGGCGTGGCTCTAAGATCCTAAATATTGACTAATTGGAAACCAAGTTTGACTTGGGGTGTTGCTGCTATGGCCAC